ACGACTTTCGCAGCTGCAAATCATCCGTCAAAAAATTGCCTCATTTGCTCTTCGCGTACAAAACCTTTCAAGCTATCACAACTGTACTTACTGGCTATCCGAACTCGATCCCATTCTCTGGTTAATAAACGGACACATTCCACAGGCCTTTAGTCAACCCCTCACAGGTAGATTACCCGGGGCAAAACTGATCCAGGATCCATATTGTCTAATAGCATTCGTTTTCCGGCTACAGGGCTTCTCACCTCCCACAGCTCTGACTACAGACTATATCATGGGGCTTAGCACTTGCGAATAGAAACTGTTATTTATCCTGGATGTATACAATTTGTCATAAGGCTCACAACAAAAAATATCGTTCAGTCCAAATGGATAACCTTCACTTATAGGCCAAAATGAGTTCGCAAGTTAAACAGGCATTTTGTCCAAACTTCAAGGGTAAAACCGGAGGCTCGGATGAGGGGGTCAGTAGTTCGTTGTTGCACGACATGCCGTTTTCCATAGCCTGCTTCAAATAAAAAAATGTTCTGCGGTATCAAAAAACCTGCAAAGCACACCACGTTTTTAGGCGATTAATATTGCCAGCAAAGACGAGGGAGACTAGAATGGTCATTTCTGGCTTATCAGCCGCCGTCAGGCAGTCATACTCAGACTCAAGTAGTGCCCTACCTAAGCCTCGAACTCGCGACCATTTTGTTCAGAGTCAAACGCCGTAACCATTGAGCCACGAGCTAGTTGTCTTGCCGGTTTAGATCGAGGTATATTGACACTCGTTGCTGAACGTCCAGCCGACAGCTAACGGAACTCATTTGGCCCGTTCTGCCTTGGGCCTCGACAGAAGCCCCGACAGCCGTAGCACCTGGAAGTATAGAAAGGTAATATTGCCGGGTGAAAGTTCGGCAACGAGTGTCAATATCCCCGACCTAAACCGACAAGACAACGAGCTCGTGGCTCAATGGTTAGGGCGTTTGACTCTGATAAAAAAGCGCGCGAGTTCGAGGCTCAGGCGGGGCACCAGTTGAGTTTGAGTATGACTGGTTGGCGACAGCCAACAAACCAGAAATAGCCATGCCAGTCTCCATTATCTTTGCCGGCAATATTATCTGCCAGTATTACCACCTACTATGGCTGCCAGGGCTTCTGTCGTGGCCCAATGCAGAGCGGGATAGATGAGTTCCCTTAGCGATAGGGTGAACGTTCATCAACGACCCCGTTTTTTGATGTATTTCAAACTTATAGTCGTTCAAGGTCACATGAACTTAGGTAGGTCTTTGGGATAACAGTGAAACACGAAATGATCGGTAGAGCTGTACACCAGAAAGCCTGTATTACCGCTCGAAAATTTCCGTTGCTTGCCTCCCTGCATATAGGTCCACATTATATGACTTCCACAATGCCCCATCTAACCGGTGATATTACTGTCCCGTACGGTGTCTCTTCAGTTGTCCAGACCTAACACAAGAATTCTAGGGATTTGGAAATATTAAAATTTATATAGGAGTCAGTATGACGTTATGACAGCCAGTCAAGTGTTTAGCTGACTACACCTTCATTTTTTCTACGGAAGGGGCAAGTTTTATGATTATGACTTTTGGACTGACTCAAACTACTTCGGCTACGTTCCTCTGAATACTTGGTACAGCCTTGTGATGCTGTCGCCTATTATCGCATAGGGGGCGCAGTCTACATAATTTTCTGTAAGAATAGTTTTCAAACGACATTGCGAATAGACAGACATCTGCACCGAAATGTTATGACACGGTCCCTCCATTCTTCCGAAGACTAACAAGGGCACCATGAGCAGCGTACATTCATGCAACTGTATTCCCCTGTTCTGCAGCAATCTGACCCTATGCATTTGAACCTGTCTATATTGCTTCATACGGTAGGAGTATCGCTTGCTAATCCTAGGCACTTTTTGAGCATATGGCTTTGTCGCTTTGCTGCATAAGCCAACTTACTTGGCGGCCTCTTTCATCCGAGATACTACACAGTGGAAGTTGTGGTTGCCTAGTGAGAGTAGATTGAGGTTAGTGGCGTAATCGGGCTCGATCAGTAGTAGAAAAAGATAGACTGTGAAAAGCGTTCTTGTTGATAGTCCTTTGGGGGTGGTCAAGAACCGTTCTTGAAACCAAGAACACTGACAGAGCTGTAGATTTCCGCACTAACGGCCTCGTTACATTAATAGTTGGAATCGAATTCGACAGGGCAACGGGCTAACATGGAGAATAGCGCTCTCACGAACTAGAGCCGATATTTTACGAATCCTGCACGAGAGGAGCACTAAGAAAATCCAGTAAGTGGGGAAATTTAATATTGAAAAATGTCCAAAAACCTGATTGTCGAGCACTCAAGCGTCGCGGCGGTTGACATGTAGAGGCGCGTCTGTCACGTTAAAACAAATAGTTCAGAAAAGGAAACGTGCTGAAATTCTCAAAGGTAAGTTAGTCTGGTAGCTCGGCGCAGGGCCATTGGCTACTTTCAGCCATAGCTGAATAATAAAACACCGAAGTTTGAATGTTCAATAAGGATATCTACAGCCAA